CCAGAGTGCTGGGATAAAAGGCACACATCATCACACTTATCACACTTTGTCCCTACAGGGAAGTTATTCTGGCAAGATTTTCTTCTTCATTCCTTAAGAAAGATTCCTTAATGGACCTTAAGGTACTAAGAACCTAGAGTCAGAAATCTAGGCGTCTAGCCACAGTTTGAACTACCAAAGAAGGCTTTAGCACACCACTTAGGGGAGAGATGACCTTTTTGCTCAACAGAGTTATGAGAATCAAAGAAATTGTGCCCAGTAAAGCTGTGTTCTTTCTAACACTTACTGTGAAGAGACTGTTAAAAAAGCAACAGCATCAAAACAGTACTCTTCCTTCTCTCTTTGCTTCCCTCTTTCTTTTTCTTTTTCCTATTCTCTTGTGGTAATGAGGGGTCACTCACATGCAAAGAGAAGTTTCCAAGCTACTGTCCCCAGCCCATGAGTACCAAATTAAGTAGTAATAGCAACAGATCGAAACCTGTTAATGATGAATCCATAGTTATATAAATGAGAAAAAAGTTTCCCTTATGAGGAATGCCAACCAAAAATATAAAAGTAATAACAAAGTAATATTAGCCGGGTATAGTGGTACCCTCAGCACTGGGGATCTGGAGACAGGAGGCATGTGAGTTTGATACCATCTGTGTTACATTGCAAGACCCTGACTAGGAAACAAACAGAAGCAAAACAAACTAGAACAGGCCAGATAGTTCAGCAGCTAAAGGTGCTTGCTTCCTTGCCTAACAAGCTGAGTTGATGGCAGGAACCCACATAGTGCAAGGCCAGAAGCAACTCCCACAAGTCCTCCACGTGTACCTTGTTACATACCCCCCTAACACAATGATCAAGTGTAATTTTAAACAAGTAGTAAAATTAACAGAAACCGTAAACTCACAAGGTCCTTCTGAATACAAGTACACTGAAAGCCAAGATGTCACTGGTCAACTTTTTATGGTATGTTTTTAAAACAAAAATCAAGGTTCCTTGTTAAGCCTCTTCTTCCAGGAATGTCAATATCAGCCCAGACACAAAATGAGACTATGTAGAACCAATTACTGTAATCACACAGAACGATGTGGAAAGAAAGAAAATCCAGGGTGGGCGGGGGATGGGGTAAGGGGACAACATATGAAATGTAAATAAAACATCCAATAAAAAAATTTAAAAAAAAAGAAAATCCAATGTAAGACTTGCAGATTTGTAGAAGCTGAAGCCTGGAGTCACTGGTCTGAAAGACCAAGGTACTAACTGGTTTCTCCAGGACAAACCCATCTCAATTCCAAATTTGGGGTGTATGGGAATGTTCTTTAACAGTTTTCAAAAGAAAGAACACGCCCTACAGATTTTTACTCATTTTGAGGTGGGTCTGTGGATTCATTTTTACAAATGCTATTTTCAGAGACCATTTTTGTGTGTGTTCTACAAAATCCTGAACAAAAGCATATTGAGGAAAAACCTTGCAAGCTAAAAGCTCTGCCTTGGAAGTGTCTCCATGAAGCAATCAGAAATAGCGGCTATAGCAATAACCATTGGCTTAGAAACAGGTTAGTGAATAACTATGCAAGTTGAGGCTAAACAGAGGGTTTCGGAGTTTGCTTAAGTTAGCAGTATATAGTGTACTCACCCAACCTTATCATCACTCCATTCTGTTGTTTTGTTGTTGTTTTTTATTTGTTTTTTTTTTCAAGACAGGGTTTCTGTGTAAGCCTGGCTGTCCTGGAACTTGTTCTCTAGGCCAGGTTGGTCTCAAAACTCAGAGATCTGACTGCCTCTGCCTCCTGAGTGATGGAATCAAAAGTGTGCACCACAAATATAAAACACTTTGTGGTAAAGACAGGTTGGCTTCTGGAATCTTTTGTTCTTGGCTGTAAAGATAAAACATTTTCTGCATCTTATAGTAAAATCATTTAAAGGGGGTTTAAAATCATTTTTAAAGACAGCAATAGCAGCTTTTAAAAGATGAAAAGTGATTTTCAGTTTGATAATGAGATAAACCTTGACTAGGAGGGAAGTAATCAAAAGGAAATACTGATGTGCCTTTTTGTGAGGGAATTAGGAAGATGTCATTTCCTCAGTATAAGTAAAGAGTTTAGACACATCTTCTGTAATGATATTAAAACTTTGTATTCTTCACTTTAGGCAGGCTGGGCATTTAACTCAATTTTTTTAACTCAATTTTTTTTTAAAAAATTTGAATTTGAGGAGTTTATGGTATTTTGCAAAAATCTAAGTCTTTGAATGTCTTCCTTCTGATGTAATGATAGAGCAGTTCAGAAAGGCATTCTAGAAAGCCTTAAAAGAAGAAAATGATGCACAGAGTTTGGTGGGCTAAGTTTGTAACTTGGCTTTGAACTCTACCAACTTCCCTTGTTTTTGCCTAAGTGATGAGGTGACCTCTAGTTCCAGTCTTTATTCAAACTTACACCAAAAGTAAACCCCTGGGGTGAAGCCTTCACCAGTACTCCAGGTTTTCTAATTGGAGAATTACCTTTTAAAGCTAAAACTCACTGTCCTTGTGATAGTGTAGTGCTTGAACTTCTCAGGCCTTGAAAACCACACAAGGATGAAATGAAAAGCAGGTTTATGTTTTATCATTAAAGCAGAATTTCCATTCATTTAAAAGATACAACTATAGGAGGCTGAAGAGATGCTTCGTTGTAGTGACAATTTTGGAATTTTGGTTTCTTTGGCAGCACGGAAATGTTAGAAGAATGTTTTCGTTTTGATCCCAGGTATGGGGATATGGAGCTGCTTCAAACTGCCTGAAGTAGCTGACTATGATTTGCCTGGTGCTCTAGGTTTTGTCAGCTGCAGGTAGTTTCTGTGATTGTGTGATGTTTGGAATTCTAGCAGCTTTTCAGAGGGTATATAAATGCAAGGGCCCTGAGAGATGGTGCTGGGATTGTTGGTCGTTTAGGGGGTTCTTTGTGGTTTTTTAAAGCTGTGGTCAGAGAGAAAAAACAAAAGGAAAGAAATTAGAATTCCTCTCTCCCCTCTGTCCTTATTTCTCTTCTATCTAATGTTAGGGGGTGAACCAGGTATGGGCTTATGGGAATGGGGTGGGGAAAAAATAACTCACAAAGTAGCAGAGACCAGCTAGAACTCAAGATTAACTCCAGCTCCAGGTTGATCTGATGCCTGTGGCTTCTCGGGCACATAAATTCAAAAGCACATACCAGCTCACCCCATACCTATATTTTTAAAAAGACATACAAATACATACATGGATAAAATGTTTTTATTGCTATTATTGCAGTACTGGGGATTGAACCCAGCGTCATCCTCTCATACTATGAAGGGACTCATATGAGTGAAGCAAAAATATTCTTTATTAATCTATTAATAGTGTTTCACATGGATTTAATAACCCTTTTTGTTTTAATCTGAGACAAGGTCTTAGTGTTTAACCCAGGCTGGCTCCAAGTTCATGATCTTTCTGCCTCAGCCCCCAGAGTGCTAGGATTACAGGTATGCACTGGCATGCCCAGCTTAATAACCTTTTTTGATAATTCTGGAACTCTATGATGTATACAATTAAACTAATTCCTGGGTCTACCAGAGAATAAAGATTGGGAACCAATAATTGAGGGGGCAGATTGACAGAGGTTTCCTAGAGGTCTTGCATGCACTTCTTTGAACCTCTTACCTCAGCCCACAGAGTGATGGGATTACAGGTCTCACCAGCACACCACTATACAAGGGATTCTAACAAGGGATTTTTGTTTTTATTTTTTGTTTTTCATTTTTAGTTTTCTTTGTGGTTCTGGGGACCAATAACTTGATCATCTGTGATATAAGTTCCCTTCCAACTTGCCTTCCTTCTCCCTAAGAAACTGGGCACTGTAGCTTGAGTTGTCTGATTAATTTTGTTCCTGATTCTCTAAGATTAGAGCAGAAGCCAGAGGATTATTCAAGCAAATAATATCCTCATTATGTGGAAATGTAGCTATTCCCTAATTCAGTAAATGTATGGAGAGCTGGAGGAATTGTCTACCAAATGAAGGATGATGAAGATCCGTGGGATGCAGCAGTCCATCCCTCTAAGTCCAGCACATATGACGCTGGGACAGGAAGATTCAGAGTTCAAGGCCAGCCTGAGCTACCTTATCTTAAATACATAATCAATACATCAAGTTTTTAAAAGTTAATCTGGGATGCAAAGGTAGCTCACAGTCTATCAAGAGAAGGCTAAGTATTTCACTGCAAGTGTGCTGCGAAGTGAGCAGCTTGTCACAGATAAGGACTTTCTGTTCCTTCTCTCTGGCTTTAGCAAAAGGCTGTCATCTCACTTTATTTTCTGTTCCTCCTCCTCAACTAGGTAGGCTGATCCATAAACATATCTCCTTGACCACCAGATAAGCATGTCTAAACTTTTGTGTAAATCTCACTGTATAATTTATAAGAAATATGACAATGTAAATAGAGACTGGGGAGATGGCTCAGTCGTTAAGGTGTCTACTGCAGAAGCACGAGGACCTGAGTTCAATATCTGCATCCATGTGTGAAAACAAAGTCTGGTGTGGTGGCATATGCCTGTAATCCTAGCTCTTGGGAAGCAGAGACAGGAGGATTCTTGGGTCTTTCTAGTCACTTGTCCTGCTGGATAGGTGAGATTTTGGTTCACTTAGAGACCCTGTCTCAAAAAAAAAAAAAGTGAAAAGCAATAAAAATAAAAAAACCTCAGTGTTGACATATGGTCTCTGTGCATTCACACACACACACACACACACACACACACACATACAAAAAAATATATAAAATATAAAAATATAAAATAGAGTCATACTTTATGCAAATTGGGGCTCATGTAACATCTCAAAATGTTGAATAAGTATAAATAAATAGATAAAGAAATCTAGTGACATTCACAGCAATTATTTTTAGGCTCTAAAATTACTAGTGTTAATGGAATTTTATTATCCATCAACTACTGTATACAAATAATGAATTGGAACTCTCTTTTTTGTAACACAGGGATGAAAACTTCCTCTGCATGGACAATGACCCTTTTAAATATCAAATCTGAAGCTTGGGCATACTCTCTCGTTACACTGGGAACCACAATGTTAAGTTCTTTCTTCAGTTTCTACTATGTGAAACTTTTCTTGGAAGTATACAAGATTTCCGAGTTGGCCTTCTACCAGTCCCAGGTGAGATACACTTTTTACTCCCTTCAATGCAGGACAGAGCTTCCTTCCTTAGAGTGGTATGTTACTGTCACTTGTCAAAAAGTAGATTCCTTATATACCTGTAAGAGTTAGCCATAAAAACATGTGTGCTATGGTGATGCAAACCTGTAATCTCAGTATTTAAGCAGAGGCAAGAAGATTGTTGAGAATTCAAGGCTGATGCTGGCTACATAGAGAGATCCAATCTCAAAAAGAAAGAGGGGGAGGGAGAGATGGGGGAAGGGAGGGAAAAGAGAAGAAAAGGCAGAGAGAATTTGCTGAGGAAGAAGAAGAGAGAAGAGAGGGAAGAAAGAAAAGGAGACACGTAGTCATGGTTACTATTGCTGTGATGAAACACCATGACCAGAAACAACTGGAGAGGAAAGGGTTTGGTTTACACTTCCGCATCCTGGTCCATCACTGAAGGAAAACAGGGCAGGGACTCACATAGGGCAGGAACCTGGAGTAGGAGCTCATGCAGAGGGCATGGAGGGGTGCCCTTACTGGCTTGCTCCTCATGGCTTGTTCAACCTGTGTTCTTACAGACCATTTGCTCAAGGATGTCCCCACCAGCATGGACTGGGCCCTCCCACATCAATCACTAACTCAGAAAGTGCCCTACAGGCTTGCCTATAGCCCAGTCTTATGGAGGCATTTTCTCAATTGAGGTTCCCCTCTCAGATGAGCCCAACTTGTGTCAAGTTGAAATAAAACTACCCAGCACAGGTACTACATCTTGAAAAGCTTGATGATATTGACAAGCTGTATTATAACTTGTCATACACGAGCTGAATGGATAGTTTTTACATTTTTGTTTGTGCTTTATGACATTGCTTATTACAGAACTATCTATTTACTATGTTGATTTTGAATTAGTTTATTATTATTAGTATCTTAACTCTTCTTAATGTAGATATGTAGAATGGTATTTTTGAAGGGAAGAAAAATGACTTATTGATTTAGAATCCTTTTTGCTTTTCTAGAAAACCTAGGTTTAGTTCCCAGCACCCGTATGATGGCTCACATTTGTAGGTAACTCCAGTTTCAGGGGATATGATGCCCTCTTTTGGCCTTCATGGGTACCAGTCAAACACAAGGTTCACATGAATACATGTAGATAAAACATTCATAGATGTAAAATAAGTTAAATAAATAAATAAACTTTAATAAAAGGAAGGGCCTGAATTCCATGAGAAAGTATGGTCCCACATGACACAGTGGGAGACACATTCTGGATTCACTGGGGTTGCCATTTTGTTCTGTTTAGTTAGCTAGATGAGTTACCTTCTCCATCCTCAGTATCTAATTTTGTAAGCTGGGAGAAGTAACTCTCCACTAACATGGAGAGTGTTGCTTTTTTCAGGGATTTGACAAAACAATACATGTAAACACTTGTACTATAGTTGAATATAAAGCAAACATGCATTGGTTTTTCAGTAGCATACTGTCACTATTGTTGTTGTTGTTTTCTAGACAGGGTTTTTTTTGTATAACAGCCCTAGCTATCATGGAGTATACCAGGGTGGCCTCTGCCTCCCAAATGCTGGGACTAAAGGCGTGCACCACCGTACCCAGCACTGTTAGTTTCAACTGAAACAGACTTTTCAGTTTTAAATACTTCTCACAAGTTAAAAACAGAAAAAAACATACCAGGGATTCTTTCTTTTTGCTTCTTGCCTTTCCTCTCTCCCTCCTCCTTTCCCTTCCACTCTCTGGTTTACTATGTAGCTCAGACAGGTCTTAGACTCAATGGTTCTCCTCCTTCGGCTCCCAGGTGCTGAGATTACAGGCATGTACTCAACCTCAGGAGTCATCCTCAGCTTGAATGTAATAGTCTACACTACTAACAACTATGTAAAATAACCCCTTGTGTATTTGGTTCTCCCTAGGTCATTTTAATGATCTGGAATATTCTGACTGACCTGAGTGGGTATTTCCACATGCGCTCTCAGTATGGTTGCTGTCTCAGTTACCGCTGCTCCCTGCTTGGAGCCCTTTTGCATGCAGTGGCCTTCTTGCTCCCTTGGTTCCCTTGGAAACACTATAGAGAAAGTGACTGGCTTACTGGACTGCAGCTAGTAGTCTCACTGTGCGCATTTGACAGCACCCACACCTGGGTGCAGCAAGCTCAGTGCCGCCTGTTTGCAGAGACTTCCCCCAGGCATGAGAGCAGGCTGCAACTGACCAGAATTAACCAGGTGGCATCCGTGGTCGGCTCTACCAGCATCCTTTTCTGTGGCCTCATCTCTCATAACATGGAAATCCTGCCCAATTTTCAAGCCATTGCTGTCATCATTGCCTTCCTGGCGTCTATCAGCCTTTACAGTGGCATGAGACAGTTTGAATTTAAAAGAAACTCCGAGGAAAACTTCCTCTTCGAGAGTGAACAGGAGTTGGCAGGGACTTCTGTCATCTCATTGATGAGACAAATCTTGCCTCAGCGGAACTTCTACATTTTCCTCATCATGAATTTCTTCCAAGTCTTCCATTTGACCTTCTTCAATAACTTCATGATGATCTTTGTAGATACCCTGATTCCCAATGAGGCTCTCTCTCCTTTCGTAAGGAGCATCATGTACGGGGCTGGCTTCATCTGCCCTCAGGTACGTGAAGAGTCTCCGTGTGCTTTCCTAGTGGTACTAAAGACGAGCTCTTAGCTTTCTGAGGAGATGAAAATGTTACTGATTGTTACATATTTACCAACAAACACTAAGAGTCATAGCCCAGTCACAGTACAGGGCTCCATAGAAAGGATGGGAAAGCAAATAAAAGTGAACAAAGGACAAGCACAGTGAGGGCCAAGCAGCATGACATTTAAAAAATATTTTTTAACACTTTATTTATTTATTTATTTATTTATTTATTTATTTATTTATTTAGTGTGTGTGTGTGTGTGTCTATGTGTTTATTTTGAGACAGGTCTCACTGTATAGTCCTGGCTGGTCTGGAATTTGCTAAGTAGACAAAACTGACTTAGAGAGTCCCATACCTAGACTATTGTGTGCATGTGTATATTTGTGTGTGCCAGGGTGGTCTGTGTCAGTCAGAAGACAGTTTAGAGGTACCATTTCTCTCTTTCCTCATGTAGGTTCAAGGACTGAACTCAGGTGGTTAGGCTTGGTGCCAAGTGATCTCCATAGCCCAATGTTTTAAATACTTGACTTTGAATATAAGCATCAACAAAGCCGTGGAAGAAGTTAATGGCTTCTTTTGACTGTATATTTTTGTTTTAGTCAGACATTTAAAGATGTATTGGTTGATTATTTATTCAACTATTTTGTCAACTTTTTAATTGATATAATAGTCAGCCTTCATATTATTGAGTTGCAGAAATACTTTGTATATTCTGCACACAAGTTTTTTGTCAAATATATGTTCAGTAATAGCGCTCTCTCTCTCTCTCTCTCTCTCTCTCTCTCTCTCTCTCTCTCTCTCTCTCTGTACTGTGGATTGGCCCTAGGATCTTACATAGTCAGTGCTCACACTAAGCTATACAATATTTATATATAATTCTTATCTTAGTCTTGTCCTAGCTGTCAAATGTCAAAAGAAATATGGCCAACAGATTTCAACAGCCCTCGTCCTCAATCCCCCACAAGAACATACGAAATACAGAGCTACTTTAATGTATTCTTCATTTCTAAGTAAATGATACTTGCATAAAATATGGTATCAAAAGTGACAGCTCATGAGAACTGTCAGTGTTGGACTAATTAGCTTTAACCCCTTTAATCATTGGACATGGTTTCCCTTTTTATGAGACTGACTGCACAGTAGAATTCATTTCAAGAAACTAGGTAAATGAAAGGAGAAAAGAAAGAACAAGACAGGCCTGATGGTGCACATGGTTGCCTCCACACCCAGAAGGCTGAATTCCAGGCCAGACTAGTCTACAGACTGAGAGCTAATCTCAAAAAAAAAAAAAAAAAAAAAAGGAACATATATATGTGGTCTTCCTCCCATAAACGTCCTAGCCAGGCCCAGCACAGCTCAGCTTTCTGAAATCAAGTGTGGCTGAGGAAATCAAATCTTTTCCTCTAATAGCTGTTCAAGAGTTTAGTCAGCCATCCTGCTATAAAAGAATATAAAGAATATAGCTTTGGAATCTCTCAAGAGAGAATGTGGCTCCCCTCTTTAACTGTGTGATCCCAAGGGAGTCAATTTCTCTGTATCTGTTATCTTCATTTACAAAACTAAACTAAAAATGAGGCCTGTCTACCGCAGTCGCCATGTAGACTGCCTATAGGTCAGCACATCGGTGACTGGAGAGGGTTCCTAGCATACAGGGGGCCCTCTGGAAATGCTGGCTCTTGCTCTCACACATGACCAGCTCAGGCTAGACACCAAGCTACAACACTGCCCTTTTCACACTGCTTTAGATTCTGTGGGTGACCTTGCCAACACTCAGACGGGATGTGCTGTTTGAAGACTCCAGCTCAGGTGGAAATATGAAAAGGAAGCCAGATTCTGTCTGTGGAAGTCTCAACTTTTAGACAAAAGTCTTTCTCTTCTGTTACTGTGAACTTTTGTAATGATATCATTGGCTCATGTCTCTGTACATACTGGACACAAGAATAATTAGCTATACATTATTGAGTGTCTTATATATTGAATATGGACCTAAATAAGGAGAAGAGGGAGTGAGAGGGTTAGTGCTCATTGGTAGAATGCCATATAATAGAGCAAAAAATTGAGAGGGGAGAGGAGAGAGAATATAGACATTAGAAAATGTCTCTTAGGTGAAGTAACTTGACTTTGAGCACACAGGCAATTAAAAGTGGCAAAGCTCGACTTCAGATGTGAGGCCTCTGATTTCCAAAGCTTGCACTTTGCACTCTGTCACAGATTCCTTGCATTACTGACCTCCTGCATGTTTCTGTGTTAGAGACTTAGACGAAGCAGCTTCAGCTTGGTAAGTGGATGCGAGTGACTTTCTAAGACAGTTGCACAAAGGAGCATCCTGGGTCTCTCGGGTGCTTGTTTACTTCCTTCTAAGAGAAGCTTTGACTCTTGCCAGTCACTGAGCTACTATTTTCAGCCTCTAGAAAATGAGCTCTCGTTCCTTGAAAGTAGAGGAGTAAGCCAAAGAGTGGGCCAGAGGGGAAAGGACGGTTACAGTCAACTTACATTGTTCAACATTTCTCTTCTATTGTGTGAACATACATTTGGCTAGTGGAAACTTCTCTGGGCTAAACAATGCACTTTTCATGTTGCAAACAAAGAGTGTTTTCAGAACTTTGTGAATGCGCATGAGTGCAGATGTCATAGACTTTTTAGTCTAGAACAATGGATGTCTTCAGAACTGGCAGCATAATGCAGAAAAGGAAAAAAGAAGTAAGTTCTTGGTGTGACTATGTTAGAATGATTAACATATATAACACTTAACCAGAAGAAATGGGATGCAACCTAGCTACTGTGTTTTAGACTTCTGATTTCAGGGGAAGGGGCATTTCAGACGGCCTCATAGCGTGGGTGGTGAGATGATCAGTAATGACTCGCCTTGGGTTAGTGCTGGTTTTAGCCTCCAATTGTAAACTGTGTATTTGTTTAAGTCTTGAATAAGCTTTCCATTTCCTAGGAAGTTGTGTTTTATGGAAATAGTAGCCATTTCTTTAATATTCATATGACATTAATGCCTGCAGTTTTTTTTTAATTCATTTTTTCTTTTCCTCCCTTTTTGGCAGTGCTGAGGCAGAACCCAGAGCCTTGTATGTACTTCCAACCACCAACCTACATCCACAGCCCTTCAAATTTTGCTGTATATAAATTAACAGCTGGGTGTAGTGGCTCAACTGTAATTCCAGCTCTGGGAGGCTGAGGCAGGAGGATTACTGAGAGTTCAAGGCTTAGCCTGAACTACATGGTAAATTCCAGGACAGATGGGGCCATAGTGAGATCCCCCATCTCAAAACCAAACCAAACCCTGATCAAGACAGTCTAAGCTGTGATGCAACAGGTGTTGTAATCCAGAGCAACTTAGTTTTGTAAGGAGAGGCTGATTTTGTCATCACAGGTAAGAGGACTAACGGGTGGGGCGGGTTTCTCTTTAATGCAATGTCGATCTCTTTCCTTGCAGTGCCTGGTACTTCTAGGTCAGTCCTGGCTGAAGAAACTCGGTTACTATAAGGTTATTTTAATTTCTTTCTACTTAGAAGGGGCAGCTGCCCTTGTCATGCTACTTCTGGGACAGGAACACTATTGCTGTTTGGCTGTTTATCTCACTGTTATTATGTAAGTAAATGCCAGGTCCCTTTCAGCATTGTATCATGCTTTTCCAGCACCCTTCCAAGCACTGAAATACCTTTAATTTGAGTAGCTGGAGTTAGAAGCATGAGCCACCATGCCAGGCCTACCATTTGATCTGAATGGAGTTTCTCATTTGTAGATGGGGTCATTGTTCCTTTCAGTGAAGTTGTTTGAATGTTCATTGCATGTTGAAAGCATTTCATATAGCAGATTTGTGCCAAAGATTGGCTCTGTTTAATAGCTAGGTTTGGTGGCTCAGCCCTGTAATCTGGCAACTAGAAGCTGAGGCAGGAGGACTGCCATAAATTTTCAGATGAGCTGGATTACAGAATAAGACTCTGTATTAAAAGAAAATAAAACCAGCTAGTCAAAACAAACAAACAAACAAAACACAACAGAACCAACAACAATCACAAAACTCAACAACGGGCTATGAGATAGCTCAGTTGCTAAACTGCTCTCCACACAAGTGTGAGGGTTCCTGGTACCCAGATAAACCATATACAACAGTGTGCATCTGTAAACCCCAGTGCTTGGGAGCAGGCCTGGGCTATGGGGTAGAGACAGCAAGATCTCTGGAGCTCACTGGCTACCCTGCCTAGGTGAGCTGGTGAGCCTTAGGTTCAATGAGAGAGACTTTGTCCCCCAAATAAGATGGAGGGTTGGAGAGATAGCTCAACAGTAAGAGAGCTTTCTGCTCTTACAGGGGACCCAGGTTCAGTTCTGTTTAGTTCCTATCACCCATGTGGTGGCTCACAACCATCTTTAACTCTAGTCCCAGGGGATTTGGTGTCCCATTCTGACTTTTGTGGGTTCCTATACACATATAGTACACAGGCATACACACATATACAAATACACACTAACTAAACAAATCAATAAATACATAAATTTTAAAGAGATGGAACATGTATGATGAAGACACTGTTAGTATCTATGTGTAAACAACATGCTTATTCATACATGCCTACACAAACGAATATACTACACATATATAATAAATAAATAAATAAATGTAATAAAAGAAAAAGTCAAACAACAACAACCCAGGGTGTGCACGCTTATAATTCCAGTACTTGGGACTTAGAGGCAGAAGGACCAGAGATCAAAGTCATCCTTGCCTACATAGCAAGTTCAAGGCCAGCCTGGGCTGTGTGAGACAATCTCAGAAGCAAGCAAGCCAACAAATGCTTCGTGTATTGCTGGAGTTGAGTGTGAAGTCCATGTGCACTTTTCATGCCTAGCCTTTTTGTTAAGTAATTCCCCACCCTCCTGTCTCATTCTATATTCAAGCTTATTAAAAAAAAAAAACTTGTATGTGAGAGAGAGCAAAGTAGGTGGTACATACTTGTCTTTCTGGGTCTGACTTATTTCCCTGAACCTGTGCTCTACAGTTCCATCCACTTTGCTACTTCTATCAGAATTTCATTCTTCTTTATGACTAGATAATATTCCATTTTATATACATACCATATCCTTATCTGTTCATCCATTAATAGGCACCTAGGCTGGTTCCATATCATAATGACTGTGAGTAAGTAGCATTGCAATAAGCTAGGCCACTTGAGTATCATCTCTTTGTCATCTGCCTCCTTGGGTAGTATATGCAGCAGTAAAATAGCTGGATCTACTGATAATCTAGTTTCAGGCTCTGGAGGAGCCACTGGAGCACAGCCTTCTCCACAGCAACTTCTCTAATGTGCATGCTGGCCTGCACTGTGTGGGAGCCTTTTCTATGTCAACCACTTTGACTTTTGGTTTTTGTACTTTTGACAATAGCCGTTCCTTTTTTAAAAGTTAGGGTCTCATTATGTAGACCTGGATGGCCTGGAACTTTCTATGTAGAGCAGGCTGGCCTTGAGCTCCCAGAGATATACCTGCTTCTGCCTTCTGAGTGCTGGGATTAAAAGTGTATGACACTATGCTTAGCTAATAATAACCATTTTAACTGGAGTGAAATAATATCTAATATCTCCTGATGACTAATTTAGCATATAATTTATGCCACTTATATATCTTTTAAAATTTTTTATTTTATATGTGTGGGTAGTTTGCCTACATTTATATCTGTGCACCACATGTGCACAGGGAGATGAGATCCCCTGTCACTATAGTTACAGATGGTCAGGAGCCATCATATGGGTACTGGGAATCTACTCAGATCCTCTGAAAGAGTGTTCAGGGCTCCTAGCCACTGAGAAATCTCCAGGCTGGCCATTTATATTTGATAGGATTGCCTCTAGTTTTGGTTGTTTTGTTGTTGTCTGTTTTTTGGTAGTTTGCTGCTGTGAGGTTCTTTTAAAATTCTTTATACATTCTGTATATTAATCCAGATGAATAGTTTACATATATTTTATCCTATTTGGTAAGCTGTCTCTTTACTTTTGATGTTTTTCCTCTTGCTTTGAAAATATTTTTTAGTTTCATGTAATTCCACTTGTCAATTTCTGCTTTTTGCTTACTATGTTTTGAGTATCATAAAAAATAAATCAGTTCATTTGCTGAACAACTTAAATGGCTTCTTATTGTTCTTAGACTTACTCAATTCCTTGATGTGTTTTGTTTATGTCTTCTTTTTTTTTTTTTTTTTTAAAGATTTATTTATTTATTATATATGAATACACTGTAGCTGTCTTCAGACACACCAGAAGAGGGCATCAGATCTCATTACAGATGGTTGTGAGCCACCATGTGGTTGCTGGGATTTGAACTCAGGACCACTGGAAGTGCAGTCAGTGCTCTTAACCACTGAGCCATCTCTCCAGCCCTTATGTCTTCTTTTACATTAGTCTTTGTTTGTTTGAGACAGGTCTCACTTAGCCTTGAACTCACTGTGTGGTGGTTTGAATATGCTTGGCCCAGAGAGTGGCACTATTTGGAGGTGTGGCCTTGTTGCAGTAGGTGTTTGTCACTGTGGACATGGGCTTTAAGACCCTCAGCCTAGCTGCCTGGAAGCCAGTCTTCTCTTGTTTGCCTTTGGAACAAGACTCTTAGGTCCTCCTATACTACACCTACCCAGGTGCTGCCATGCTTTCTGCTTTGATATTAATGGACTGAACCTGTAAGCTAGCCTCAATTAAATGTCATCTTGTAAGAGTTACCTTAGTCATGGTTTCTGTTCACAGCAGTAAATCTCTAAGACACACTGTGTAGCTAGAGCTGACTTGAGCTACTGATTCTCCTGTTTCTACTTCCCATGTGCTGGGTGTGTATGCTACTATTATGACCAGCTTTGCTTATTTTTAAAAATTATTTAGTGTATATGAATGTTTCACTTGTATATATGTACCTGGTGCCACAAAAGACAGAAGAGGAGACTGGAGTTACAGACAGTTATAAGCCACTATGTGGGTGCCAGGAACCGAACCTGACTCTTCTTAAAGAGCAACCAGCTGTCTTAACTGCTGAGCCATCTCACCCGGCCCCTGTTGTTTTGCTCTGTGATTTGTAGTTGTAGAATGTTTGTATGTGTACAATATTTTAACTTTTTTCCTAGGGTGACTGTACACGCCTCTTTTTGCTTATTTAATTTGCCAGTGGTGGACATGGTTGATGCAGATTTACTGAAGTTTAACAGGCAGTAAGTATATTTACTCAGATACTAACTACACAGTGTCACACATAGGAATTACCAGAGTCTGTCCCTACAGCTCAGTTATGTTGACATCACAAACACATACCAGAGTGATGATCCTAAGGACTGTCACTGGGACCAAGAGAACAGAATATCATACAATGTTCATATTTTTTCACCCTGGGCATCTTTTTCTTTTCTTGTTTTGCAAGATTGAACCTCAGGGCTTTGCACATGCTAGGCAAGTGAGCTCTCCTTGAGCTGCATCCCTTGCCCCTGGGCGATGCTTTCCTGTTTCTGAAAGGACATCATAATTTTTATTGCTTAGGTTCACAGAACCACTGCTACATCAGGGTTAATGCTTAGGACCAAAAGTGAACTCTCAATTTGTTTTATGCTGTATGAATTTCAGTGCACTGACATTTACCAAATGCCAGCACACACAATACCATATGGCTGTTTACTGTCAGATAAGCATAGTGACACCTCTCTGAAGTCTCAACCACTCAATAGACAGAGGCAGGAGGATCACTTGAGTTCTAGGCTGGCCATATAGCAAGACCCTGTCTCAACAAATAGCTGTGTGTTGTGACTCACACCTGTAATGCTAGCACTGCAGAGACTGAGGCAGGAGGATTACCTCAACACAGGGTTAGACTGTACTAAATAATGAGTTGACGTTCAGCTTGGGCTACATTGTCTTAAAAAATCATCATCATCATCATCATCATAATCATCATCAACAACAACAATAAAAAGAGTTATAAAAATAATAGAAATAAAAAGAATAAAAAGAGTTCTATTATCCTTAAAACTAAGGAATTCATATTTTATAATTGCTAAGCTATTTCTATAGTTGTTTACTTAGGCTGAAGAGAACTTCATGGATGAAGAGGCTCTTCATGCATAGATCCGCATACATACTTGAGTATGGAAATACAACAGATGTGCTAGGATGGTGGAACACATCTTTAACCCCAGCACTTGGGAGGCAGAGGCAGACGGGTCTCTGTGAGTTTAAGGCCAGCCTGGTCTACAGAGTGAGTTCCAGAAAACAATCCAGAGCTACATAATGAGACAGTGTCTCAAAAAACTAACAAGAAGAAATATACCAAATGTGATTTATATTGATAAGGACCAGTGAGACACACTGTCTCTAAAAAGAAAAAGAAGAAATATATCAAATGTGATTTATATTGATAGGGACCAGTGAGACACACTGTCTCTAAAAAGAAAAAGAAGAAATAGATCAAATGTGATTTATATTGATAAGGACCAACTCTATTTTTGTCTGTTTCAGGTCTTCTCTTTCCTTGATGGTTTCTGTCATCAGTGCTTTATTTACCAGACCTGCTCAGTCTTTAGCTCCCGTGTTGATACTGTCTAAGCTAAACCAGCACGGCTATGGAGAGCCGAACAACAGGTAGAGTAAAAAACCGTTTCCAGTCATGCAAGAAATCCACCCTTTCCCATTAACCATTAAGAAAGCATCTTGGACTTTGGATTTTGTTAGCTATTAACTCACACACCTCAAATGGACGATAATAAAAGTATTAATGTTAAAGAGTCATGAGACAGTTTTAATACCATTATTGAAATCACAGATATGGCATAACCCTGACCTAGAAATTTTATCTTGCCTCGCTTCCCAAGTGCTGGTAGAGTTCATATAATCTGATCACGTTTGTTTCTGTGGTACTGGGGATTACTGTCTTGGTTTTGAGCAGCATCCCCATCTTAAAAAAAAGGAACTCTTCCATAATCTCAGCTTCTCCATGTACTAGGTGACTATTTTTTTTTTTAATTGGGGGAGTTATTGTAAACCTAGGTAGCATTAAAGCCTCAAGCAAATTTGTGGTAGAAAGCCACGATGACAGACACCGTCAGAGCCTCATGGCCACGTGTTAACAATTTTACCTTATTCTTAGAGCATTGTGACAGTAAGGGAGGAAGAACAGGTGTGTTTACCTTTCTCTGAATTATCTGTGTTCTTGAAAAACACAAAGGCCCTACAGTCAACTTTCTCAGTCTCATTTGTACATTAGCATTACAAGCTCCGATAGCCAGGTCACACCCCCAGACCAGTACAATCTAGAACTCTAGAGGTATGATCCAGCCACTAGCATCTTTTAAAGCTCCCCACCTTTACCCCCTTTGTGAAACCAAGCTGAGGAACCTAGAGATTTACAGCCCTGGGAACAGCGGCTCTGAGCACTAATTTTTGTTGGCTCAGCAACATGACACGTTGGCAGCCTGACATGTTGGCAAACTAGTTTTGTGATACCATAAGCATTTTCAGAGATACAAGCACATACAGGCACTTGGATATCATTTATCTTTTAAGTGATGACTAAAACTTGCCCTCTGGTGGCCTCATGTGGCACATACGACCTGATCCAGAGGCTAACTGTAGTACTCAACAGGTGATCCCTTTCTTTTTCCTCTCTCTCTCTCTCTCTCTCTCTCTCTCTCTCTCTCTCTCTCTCTCTCTCCCCCCCCCTCTCTTTTTGAGACAATGACTTTTTATGTAGTCCTAGCTGTTCTAGAGCTCACTATGTTGACCAGGATGGCCTTGAACTCACAGAGATCCACCAGTCTTGCTTCTCAAGTACTGACATTAAAAGTGCACCACCACACCTGGTATAGCATCTGTTTCTTTGCTTACTGTTTTCAGTGTTCAGAACCGGCTAACTTAGGGCTAGTGTTCCTCCCTTTGCCCCTTTCAAAAATTACTCTAAATTCCTTGGTGTAATTAAAGATATGTTATTTCTGAGCTAAATGTAGTGGTAATGCCAATTCTTGAAAAGCTGAGTGAGGCAGGAGATTGTTTGAACTTTAGATCAGGTTGGGCTACATAGTTAGTTCCAAGTAGTGGTGTGTGTGTGTGTGTGTGTGTGTGTGTGTGTGCGTGCATATGGGTACGCCTGTGGCTGTCAGAAGACAACCTGTGGAAGTTGGCTCTCTTTCTTCACTCTGTGGGTCTCAGGGATCAAACTTAGATTATCAAGCTTTGGGGTAAGAATTTTTACCTGTTGAACCATTCCACAGGCCCCTATATTTACTTCCTAAAGGATTCAGTGATACACTTAATTCAGCAAAATAGAATCATTGAATTTGTTAATAAGGATCTATAATTGGGTAACTTGAGCAAGAAAACCAGAATAATCCCTAGTTATATGGGATAAGATATTTCATGTAGTGATGGTAGAAATGGATGACCAGGCTTGGGCATGGTGGCACACATCTGGTTTCTTGTTTGTTCAAATTTTTTTTGAGACAAGGTCTCACTGTGTATCCCTTGCTGCCTTAGAATTTGCTGTGTAGACCAGGCTGGCCCAGAAATCCCCTGCCTCTGCCTCCCGAGTGCTAGGATTAAAAGGGTGTGCCACCACACCTGACAGTGAGTTTGAGGCTATCTTGATCTACATAGTAAGTTTGAGGCCAGTCAGGGCTACACAATGAGACATTGTGTTAATAAGAAAAGAAATAGATCATCAAATGTATATAATCTCCTGCTCAAAAAATTACTTTAACTCTGGGGATATAGTTCAGTGGTTAATCACTTGCCAAGTGTGTATGTGATTCAACCCCTAGCACTGCAAACATGAAGCAGATAGTTTTGAAATTATAGACCAAGCTGCCAGAATATTGCACAAGAGAATGTACAATACAGCTCCAGGATGTTATGGCAAAGACCTCCTCCTTTCACTTGCTTAACCAAGTAGATTTATGTTTTTTCTTGGCAGACACATCGAATTTTTGTAGTGTTAATACCGAGCTGAGAGCTAGAGTCCTAAGGTTTGTTCCTGCTCTGCTTGCATGGCATTAGGGAGGCAGAAGGGCAAATCCAGTACACTGAGCTAAGTCCAGAGGTCAGAGAAGCCACAAATACAAAGAAACACAGGTCTGTGGTTGTTTACTTGCATGGATGCAGTAAATACACCTACTCCATGTGCCAGGGCGTACCGTGCAGTACTGGCCACACTCCTGCTGCTTCACAGGACATTAGGAATACAAAGGTAGATTTTTACGGGGGGTCATAGACTGTCAGCTGTATTCACTGGATTGCACTGTCATCTACTGGTGTATTGTATATAACTGATCGTTATACATTTACATCAGTATATAAAATCATTATTTGAGAAATAGTTTTTTTCTGGGTATGATGGCTCATACCTGTTATACTGCTAGCTCACAGGGAGGCTAAGGCTGGAGGATTGCCATGAGTTTGAAGACAGCCTGTACTATACAGTGAATTCCAGGCCAGTCTGAACTATAGTATGAGAACCTATCTAAAAATCCAAACCAAAGCAAAGCAAGACAAAACAAAAAGAATAATGGCTTCCTGTGATCAGTCTGGTTTATATACAAGCATGTTTCTTTCTTCCTTTTTTTTTCCATATTAGAAATGTGACCAGGGCTTGGGGCATGCTAGGTAAATGCTCTACCAATGAGCTCTACCCTAAGCCATACAAGTATGTTAAAAATTATATATGCACATTCCTTGTGAACTCTGTATCCTACCATAAAGATATTTGTGCATCCACATTTATTCTGGCTCTATTTACTATGTATAGCAATGAATTAGAACCAACTTTTATGTCCATCTGCAGATGAATGAATAATGAAAATCTGATACATACATAAAATAAATATTATTCAGTCTAAAGAACACTGAAATCGCCAGGTGTGGTAGCACATGCCTTGGATCCTACACATGCCTTTATTCCTAGCATGTGGAAGACAGATGCACGATTTATTTTTTCTTTTTAATTAAAATTTTTACTTTATATTCCAATCATAATTTCCCCTTCCTCCTCTTCTCCAAGTCCCTCCCTGTCACCTCACCTTACCCTATTTCCTCCTCCCTTTCTCCTCAGAGAAGGGGGTGCCTCCCACAGATATCAACTTGCCTTGGCATATCAAGTTGCAGTAGGACTAGGCACATCTTCTTCTATTGAGCCTATACAAGACAGCCCAATTAGGGGGAAGGGGACCAAAGGCAATAGGATCAGAGACAGCCCCTGCTCCTGCAGTTAGGGGTCTCACATGAAGACTGTTACATATGTGTAGGCAGTCTAGCTCCCTCCTATGCCTGTTCTTTGTTTAGTGGTTCAGTTTGTGGAGCCCCTATGGGTCCAGGTTAGTTGATTATGTAGGGTTTTTTTTTATGGTGTCCTTGTCTCCTCTGGCTCCTTCAATCTTTCCTCTCCCTCTTCCATAAGATTCCCTGAACTTCACCTAATGTTTGGCTGTGGGTCTCTGCATCTGTTTCCATTAGCTGCCGGGTGAAGCCTCTCAGAGGACAGTTATGCTAGGCTCCTGTCTGCAGGTATAGGAGAACATTGTTAATAGTGTCAGGGGTAGGCTTTCTCTCATGGTATGGGTTTCAAGTTGGGACATATAGAGAGATATGCACCATTTCTTTTGCTGGTTTTCTGTCCTGAAGTTTCATAACAGATACCTCCAAAATTATATTCATGAAAAAAGTTTAGAAAGTGACTTTTTTTCTCTTCCAATGGCATAGTAGACTGCATGGTCTTCAACAATAGCAAGAACTCAGATACAAAATGATTCTTCTCAGAGTGAGCCACATACAAATTCAAAGTAGTCCTAAGATTTGCATTTTAAAATATTTATTTACTTATATATTTAGGTTGTATGTTTGTCGATGTGCATGCACATGTGTGCACATGTATATGTGGGGCAAAGTCACCCTCAGATGTCATTCCCAAGGTGCTATTTACTTTTCAGACATAGTCTTTCACTGGCCTGAGAGTTCCATGCAAGTTAGGCTGGCTGGTAGTGAGGCCCGGGATCTCGTATCTCCACCTCTCAGTGCTGGGCTTGCAAGTGTACACCATCATGTCAGGCTTTTTTATGTGCATTGTGGGGCTCAAACTCGGGTCCTAATGCTTATATAGCAAACATTTTACTTATCGAGCTATTGTCCTTGACTTTGACTTACAAAGTTTACTAATGTTTTTCATGTTATTAATCTTGAGTTTATTGATGCATACAATCTTTGTTTGTTTGAGATAGGGTTTCTCTATGTAGTCCTGGCTGTCCTTGAACTTGCTGTGTAAACCAGGCTGGCTTTAAACTCACAGAGCTCTTCCTGCCTGTTCTTATTTCATAGGCATACCAAAAGAACTAAAAAACCCTAGGTGTTAGAACATTGCCTCAGAGTCTGTATTTTGGTGAAACACAGTTTCGTTCTTTCCCCTTTCATAGCATTGTATTTTAGAAAAGTAGTATTAAAGAGCAGGCAAAATATTAAAGCTGCAAAGCATATATGAACACATGTACATTTAGGGATATCAAGATGTGTACTTATTTTTAAACCAATATTGTTTAAGCCTAGGCACTAATTATATTGGACACAAGTATTTGCATAATTTTAAATGAAAACCTTTTGGCCCA